ATCTTTATATATATATAATATATATATATATAGGCCTATACTTATAATAATAATGATCTTTTTTTCCAGATACTGTCGCATAAATCTAGTAAACTTGAACATAGTCAAAAATATTCTTTGTTTACAAGGTCTTAGCTTTCATCAAAATTAGGACTGAAAAACTGTTAGGCTTATTTTTTTTCAAAACGTTCAAATAATACAATTCATAGCCTTTGCATAACTACACACATTTCTGCCAGCAAATTTAAGGATTTTTGTAGAAAAATCTATGTACTGTAAATCATTAAAAATTGGTCGTCTTTGTCGGTTACTCATTGATAAAAAGAGTGTTTCTATTAAATTGTCATTTCACATATTTAAATTTTAGATCATCATCATTGATATCATCATAATTTTAAACCGACGAAATTGAACGCAACGCGACGAAGCGCGCGCCATTAATCTGCCACCGACATTAGAACAACAAAAAGAAAAACAAATTACAAGAATATTTTCATTTTTCGCTGTAACTGACCTACTTTGCGCGTGTGCATCATTTAGTAACGGTACATTAATTATGCAGAGCGACTAATAGGCAAACTTCTCTGTACCATTAAATGCAGTGTCAACTGCCCATGTACCATAATAACGAAAACAAAGACCGATAGCATAATCTGGAAACTTTGATTGTCTGAAATGCAATATTAGGCAGCGCACAGATTCGACAGAAATCTAATTACGTGTGTAATTGTGTCCTAATACACCTATACATTGACATGGAACATGGAATATACTGTAATAGTAGTATTAATAGGTATTAATAAATATACTGTATTATAATAATACATAAAAAATGATAAGGGTGATGATGATAATGATAATAATAATTATCAAAGAATAATAATTATCAAAGTATAATATTAAACATGATTAACATGATGATGATGATAATGATGATGATGTTTATAAATAATAATATATGATTTAGAATAAAACTCTTAGGCCTACATATTTATTGTACAATGGCTATGTTTGCATTTTTTACAACAGACCATGTCCGCACGCGAGCTGATAATAATTATGGTTAGTCTTGGTGACGTATCTCATTTACTGCCCCAATCTTGCATAATGCAATATTGAGTTCAGTGCGCTTACTTAAGGGTGTGTAGCCCTTAAATTAATATTGACCACGCAACGCGTACGACCCATTCTGCCGCTGAATTTTACGCAATAACGGCTATCAGTTCCTTGAGAAAATATTAGTAAATTTATGTAAAAAAATATCTGATCGACTTAGGATGGTGTTTAATATACCTTATAAATATACTCGTATTACATCAGGCTATATAATAGACCCGTGTGATGAAAACTACAGTATATTTATCGTAGTGCCGAAAGGGTGTGTTCTCATACATATAGAAAAATAAAAATCAAGCAGGTATTTCTTAATAGCACCGCGAATAGGCTGTTTAAAATCATTCGAACACCACTATTACTAATGATAAGTTCTTTACTAAACAATAAAAGATTATTTAGTACTTATCAATAAGCATAATGACTATAGGCTGACCTACTAGCCACTTGATCATTCAACTTCGGTTTGTTTTTCAATTTTTAAATATCTGTTTTTGTTCAATAATACATAATTATCTATATCTAAATCATATTGAAAATAACTTATATGTAAACACTTACCATATTGAGGCCTTTATAAGTCAAATTTATAATTTATAGCGATATCGGACGACTACGAGGCGTTGCCTTCTCCAATCTTATGCCTGGATAGAGCTCAGCAAGTATGCACGCACAACTCAACGATCCCTTAATTTACCCTGAAGTCAGCATCGATTTGTATGTAGATTTAGTGCGCATGCGCCACTCAAACTGAATTCTAGAATTCCCGTTTCGGTCAAAATACAACATTAAAATATAAAGGTCTGTTCCGGTTCGTATTGTCAAAACATACGGTATATAACCCCTTTATTGGAATTTTATGCATTTTTGTATATTTTATTTTATTACATTGCCAGAAGGTTTTTCTTACTAAGTTTATTTTTTATGGTTGGCTATAGCATATATGTCTATATACATTTATTTTATTTAAATACAATATGAATATATAATATATGAATGTATTATATATTCCTATATATATAATTTTATATCCACATATACGGTATTGTATAGAAGTGTATATGTGCAGTATGTAGGCCCTATATGCTTATATATAATTAGAAATAATTAAATGCAGTATTATAATACTTAAAGTTCTCTAAAGTCATTATAAAACATCACTTGATGTACATCTAACTTGAATTATTTATTTAACAGATTTTACTATCAGATATTATAATACTGACTTCACTGTCCCATCGATGGTCTGTACATATTTATTCACACTTTAAGAAAATTAACAATTTTACGTGGGACTGTGGTTCTCGGCACTTTCCCGAGAGATCTCCATCCATCATCGATTCTCCTCAATTACTCGATGAGTCATTCACTACAGCATTTCTAGCAGACGAACCTTCCATGGATCTGCTTAGTCTAATAGAAAACCGCCATCTTCACTCATTTGAACAGATTAGTAGACTTCGAAACTTATAATTTAAAATCATCATTTCACTATTGATAATGTTTTTATATGTTATTAGACTTATAGTGTTCTGACCATGTATTTGAAATCTGACCTCGGCTGATTGAGTGTTTGTGTGGTGTTAAACCGATGATTAAATTAAAATATCTTAATATTACATTTTATTGTAAACTTGTGAAGAAAGTCTATATGGTTATGTTTAAACTCAAAGGACTCCCACGAAAAAAAGGGTCTAACATCAGTTTTCAGCTTTTTAGTCTCACTATCATAATTGTTATCTCATTAATGTAAGTTTATGAATTAAGTTTACCGTTGTTTAAAAAAAAATTACTCATCATCTATGATCCTAATGGAACTGTTTCTAATACACGAGTGTATGGTTGGTATTCATATCAACACGAACTGAACTCATCAATTAGTAAGTAGGCCTATGAAAATGTAGTATGTGATGTGCATAGGCCTACTGTATGTATAGTCAATTCATGATCACATGAGGAAATGCGCATGAAAGGTGAGCTAAATCTCATACTGTACATCATTACTTCTGGACAAGGTTCATCTACACAGTCGATGTAGTTGGAATACTACTAATTTAGATCTCTTTATAATGTAACATCATGGCATGTAAATGTAGCCTACTAGTAATTATAGGCCTACTAATCATTCCCCAGTCTTAAGAAAAAAAATTATATATTATAATTGTTATAGCTTATGATGATGATGGCCAATGAAAGCATGTGATGTTAAAACAACGCTCTAATTCGAAATAAAACGTTGAAGAGAGTGCATGGTTAATTTGTAATTGATACGAGGCCATTCCTATAACGTTGTGACGTTGAATTCGTGAATCCAAATGAACACTCCTGTAAGAGTTATGTATATATTTAAATGAGATGACCTTCTCGTTAAAAAAACACATTGACACGTATCCACTTTTAATAAAAATTTATTATATACACTAATAAAAACAAATGTTATCACAAGGTGTGGGTTAATTTATATAATAAATTCCAATAATTAAACTGACATTATTTTTCATTACAATACGCCTAAGTGTTCATCCAAGATAATGTTGTCAATAGTGATTGATGGGTAATTTCATTAATGTCGGCATTAAAACGTACACCTAAATCACCATCCTTATTTCCGTAGATAATAATTATGCATTCGTCAAAGTGTCAATCTCATGTCATAGTCGAGTGTGTATCATGGTAACTGTCTGCGTGCGCGTAAACATAAGCAAGGTAATCAAAGCAAATCAAAAGGATGGGCATTCAGGATGTTTATATACAAAATATAAAATACGGGATAGAAGTGTATTATTACGTCAATTCATGAGAATGCAAAATTAAGATTAACGGTTATGAATGATCTGACGACCTATATTTCATCTTCGCTGCTTGTCACGTCCGTGTCCATCTCAATCTCCTCATAATCTTTTTCCAAAGACGCCATGTCTTCTCGAGCTTCGACAAACTCTCCTTCTTCCATTCCTTCTCCAATATACCAGTGGACAAAGGCTCGCTTTGCGTACATCAGATCGAACTTGTGATCTAGGCAAGCCCAAGCCTCAGAGATAGCTGTATTGTTGCTGAC